GGGGGGAGAACAACAATTTGTTAAATTTATCTTTAAATTTAACAAATTTAAAGATAAATATAACAAATTGTTAAATTTATCTTTAAATGGACTTCACATTTTGATGAAATGATATACACCTTTAGCTGATTGGGACTGTTCCAGCTTTGTTTTGCCCAGCTGTTTTTCCAGTTGTACATTCTTCTTTTTATGATGAGCCAGTTCTTGCTGGAGGTCCTGGGATTGCTTTTGACCAGCTTCCTCTCTGAAGTGGCAAGAGATATTAAGACATGTAAAAAAGATAAATGCTGTTCTCCACTGCGTGAAAAATTCAATTATTATTTTTACTTCGTTATGCACAGATTAAATTTAATATCTACAGTATCTGAAAAAATAACCCAAAGCATGCCAAACATTTCATGCCTCCCCTCATTTTTTTTCTTTTTTCGAATTTCTAGTTTTCTGTCCAATGACAGTAGATGAGTACCTAATGCCCTAGAACAAATAAATCAAATAAAATGTCTACTTTTTTGCAACAGTTTTACCATTTCATATATTTTTCCACACACACAAACACACACACACACTGGCCTATTTTAAACAAATAATTACTGGTAACGAAAAACTCTACCTTTGCTGCAACAGTTTAACTAGCTCCAATAATTTATCCCTCTCCACTTCTGCAACATGGTACATGGACTTGTATTCCTGGCACTGGGCCTGCAGTTCAGACAGCTCTTCTTTGCTCAGTAACCTAAATGATGAAGAAAATGGTAAATATTTTCAAGAATTTTCACTAACATGAACAGATTCATCTCAGTGATGAAAGTTTAACTTATCAGTATTATCATGGCAGAAAATCAGGACATACAGCACACATTACCCTTGAGATTTAATATATTTTGTTTTTTCTACAGGTAAGCAAGGAAATTAACATGTCCATTTTTGCAGCACATAATTCTCACAAACTTAGTTATTATGGGTGAGATTCTAGAATCACAAATTTGTCAATATTAATACTCATACTCTGCCCATACAGCTTTAAGAAATACTTACTAGTATGGATCATATTTTTTTTTCAGTTTAAACATAAATTTAGAAAATGCAGCAAAAATACCCAATGCAAGCAACCTCCCTAAGAGAAACAAACAATGGACTTAAAAAGCTGGAAAAAATTAGATCATTCCATTTCAGTTTAAACCCAAATAACAATTAAAAAAAAAACAAAAAAAAACCGTCTCTGTTTCTTCTGTCTGTATAAAATCATGGACCTACCCTGGCTGTGAAGATGCAGGGCGTACCGACTTCCGTGATGATGCTCTCTCCCTGTCAGTGGCATCGCCATTCACTTGGCTTTGTCGTGATGTGGATCTGTTACTGGCTCTGTGAAATTGAAATAGAATAATCTAAATAAAATTGAATTGTGCCAGAGGATCATGGTTTACCTAAAACAAGTGACAGCACAACCATAAAAGTACAATGATAAAATTCAAAAGATTAATGGTAGTGTCTGGACTACTAGTCTAATATCAATTTCAAACTTATTTTATTGAATGTTTACTTTTAAAATTAATGGTCAATATCCTTGCTCTCCCTTTCTCTGTCTCTCTCTCTCACAAACACACACACACACACACACACACACACACACACACACACACAAGCACTACCACTTGCCCTTTGTCTATCCTTTTCCCTCTCTCCCTCCCTTTCTTCCTTTTTCTCTCTCCCTTTTCTTTTTTCATCTGCATCTAAATTCTCTCCCTCCCCCTCCCCTCTCTCTCTCTCTCTGACTCACCTAGATTGTGGTGGAGAAGGAGTGTGGAGAGCCATTCCGTCATTGACTACAGGATTCACAATAGTTGCAGTTCCAGGCCGAGATAAAGTCCTTTCAAACAACGCATTAGCCGCGTTCATCTGAGCATTCACCGCAGAGACTTGGGCCCTCTGCCTCAACTCTTGGATTTCATCCTCCATAGAGTGCAATTTTTGCTCCTTTTCTGCGACTATTTTTTTCAACTGTTCTACAACATTGACGTCGTGTTGCTGTTTCTGGGAGAGTTCTCGAAGTTTGGCAGACTGTGACTGTTCTTTTTCCTGTTGGGACTTGTTATTCTGCTCAACCATAGACTTGAGTCTTTCTTGCTGTTTCTGTAAATAGTTCTTTTATTACTACTAAGTATTATCTTTAATCGTCATCAATTATTAAAAATAATTTTAATCTCATAAGTGAATGCAATTCTGTTCTATGTGAAAACTGGAAAAATGATGTCGGTCAAATTTTTGCATCTATTAACCTCAGAATCATTAAACAACATACATAATACATGAAAATAACTCTGAATCTTTGAGGCAGAGCTATTTAGTGAAACCTTTGGCTAATAGGATTCTATAATAAATCAAGACTGCATAAAATTTTTACTAAAATAATGATAAAAAAACTTTATATTCTTCTCCTTGTATCTTATAGTCCTCACACCCACCATGAGTGCCTCAATCAGTTCATCATCATGTTTGCCCTTGTCTAACAGCTTCTGTACTTGCTGCTTTTGGAGCTTCACATCCTCTGACAGCACTTTGTTTCTAGAACACCAGGACTTGACAATTCAGTTTAGATAGTACATGCAATATCACAATATCACTGAAATTTTGTTAACTTTAAATATTATGGTTGTATTTTTTTCAGGTAAATTTTGTAAGATTTATTTATTATTATCAAATTTATAAACAGTTCTGTGTTTTCAAGAAGATTGTTCTGAATTTTAAATCAAATTTTTATTAAAAATAGAAATAATTTTTTAATTATTAAAATAAACAAAAAAAAATAATAATAATAAATAAATAATTATTTTTCAGGTTTAAGAATATTAGGCACAACTTATATATTATTAATTCAAAGCAATGAAAATATAGAGATGTTCTGTTGGCAGTTTTTTTGACTATCACCTTGCTTTTGAGGCATCAAACTTGCGTTTCAGTGCCGCATGTTCCTCTTCTAGGGCTTTTAATTCATTGGCTGCTTTCTAGAATACAGAAACGAAACTTTGATAATAGAAGTAAGGGTCTTTATCACATCTAGTGATCCATCTTTAACATTCTACCTGTTCTGTTTCAAAATAAATTGACTTGACTAAATGAAACTACAGCAAAGAACAAATCTCACTGATTGTGAAAGGCAATATTTGGGCCAGTAGATTCTTATATCATTTTGACCCGGAGGACCAGTCAGCAAATAATTTTTTGGAACAGGTTGACAAAATGTGAAAAACTATCTTCTTACATCTTGAGCTTCTCTCCTCTCCTTCTCCAATCTTTTGATCTGTGTTTGGTGTCTGTCATCTAGTGTGCTCCTCTTGGAGGATGATGTCCCCATGAACTGTGCTTCAAGGTCATCCTCCATCGCTAGAGAAGACTGTCTGTCTTGAAGTTGGCTCTTCAGCTCTGTCACCTGGAGAGATAAATATCTGTGAAGTCAGATACTAAGTCGAAACATTCCAAGACAAATCAAAATGAAATAATTTGTTTATTTATGAAAATGACAAAGTTATCTGTTTGTACATTTTCCATTCTAGAATTCTGGGGAATATTTTTGTACCACATCCTGCTTCTCACCATTCTCTGTGGACAGGAACAGAGTTCATTTTAATTGTACTTTAAATTTTGGATAACAATCAAATGGAGTAATATTGGGGCTGTAAGGAGGGTGTTTACTAATTCTAAGCGTGGTTTAGATTTTTTCAATTTTTCAATTGTCAGTTTGTTTCTTTCTTGTAAAAATAAATACTTCTAAGTCTCATGTTGGAATTAAAAAACAATTCATAGAGGAATTGCTACTTGCTAGGTTTATTCTAAATATTTCCCTATTTTTTTCAATAGGGCTACCTTTTTCTGCAGAGCCAAAATCTGCTGTGCTCTGCCTCTCCATCCACTTGTGGCATTCAGCAAGGACTGCACTGTGACTCCTTCACCAACCTCATTGGCTAGAACCTGAAAATTTTGTCCAATCATCTGAAGTGTGCATTAACAGAAATAATCACATTCTTTATAAGCAAAGACCTTCAAGGACGGTGGGCTAAAGTATTAACATTCAAATTGTCTTTTATTTGGTTTCCTTTCATAATGACTGTAAATGGATACACTTTAGAAAAGGTTTTAATATGTTCATTATTAAAAAAAAGACTTTTAAAATTAGAAATGTAGTTCAACATAACTTATTGTTTACCTTCTGTGTGCTTTTTAGTTCATTTTTTACACTTAGCACTTGGTTTCTTTGTTCTGATAACTTGAGCTCTGTTTGTCGTAGTTTTTCCTGAGTGGCCTTCAGTTCTTGTTCCAAACTCTGTTATTAAACAAAAGTTAATGATCATCATAAAACCATGATTGTTTCTGCCTTTCATTATAAGTTAATAACTTGCATCCCAAAATGAAGTAAAGGTATGATCCAGGGATTTTTGCTCCATAAGGTTCATTAAAATATTTTAACAATCTTGTTTGTTTGTGTCTGACAACATTGTACAAGTTATTTCTTATACTTTTAAGCTGTTGTATTTCAAAATATCACTTTGTAAAATAAAAATAAAAATAATAAAAAACTTATTAACAGACAAACCCACAAACCATTAGGTAAACATATCAATAGCATACAAGAATCATAGTTATACAAGTGAGACAAATGATAGCATTATAACAAAAGCAAAATCTACTGATAAAAAGCTTGTGCTCACCACAATTTCAGTTGACATGACTACTTATACATATGAAAGCATTTTCACATCCTCTATGTTTATCACCATTCCACATTTCATAAAATCAACAAAATGTCCTTTAATAAGATAAAATCTTAATACCATGGAAACATAAGTCAATTACCTTGTCATCTCTGGGAGACCCGTAAGGGTTACTGTATTTGGGGATGTCTCCTTTACCTGCCAAGTCTTCAGAGTCAGCTGAGCGAAGCTGAAATAAATATATAATTCAAAGATAATTCCAAGTTATGCTCAATAAAATTTGAAAGCCTTTTCAGAGAGCTTCCCACCATTCCCATAACTTTGATCACTCAGAGGTATGATGTTTATGATGAACTTTAGTTTCAAATAAAGAAGTTATCAAGTCACAGTTCATTCTGAACACATAATTAAGTCTCTAACAAATAATTATGACTCTAAAATTTTTAATAATTGCAATGTGCATCTTCCAGTTTCCTGATCTAATATGTAGTGAAACAATCAGAAAGCTATCATCTCAGGTTATGCCTGGTTCAAACACAGAAAAGACTGCATATTACTTAATAGAGAAAAAAATATTCACCTTATTTTCTAGATCTCTACATTTCTTCTGAGTCTGTCTTGCTTTCGTTTTCTCTGCTTCCACTTCTGCCCTAAGCTCACGCACTTTTTTGGACAATTCTACAATCTTGGTGGCTGCAGCATCACTGGCAACACCAGCTCCACCTACAGTACAATACAAACCAATGTGACGATCACTTGATATAACATATATCAGTCAAATACCGCGTACATGTTTCAAAGATAAGATTGCAAACAAATAAATAAATAAATAAATGCTTATTATAATTTTTCATGCACTTATCTCATTTTATTACAATGTTTATAAAGTAAGTCTTACCCAGACAATTAACAGTTGAATTATAATTCACATCACAAATGACTGAGTGAAAGGGAAAATGAAACGTTCTGTAAAATATTCAACTAAAGTGTTATTCTTTCTGTGTACCAGCTATAGCAGCCCTGTCTTCTTCTCTCTTCTTCTTTAGCTGTCTTATTTCAAAGTCCCTCTCGCTCAACAGCTTGTACAGCCTGCCATTTTCATCTTTCATTTCCTGAAATGAATCAAAATAATTTTTCTGAATTTCAACATTGCAACAGAGAGCAATATCAAAGTAAATGCTGTAACATACCATCCTCTGGCAGTGACTACTACAACTAGTTTTACTGAGTTAATATTCCCAACTGATCTATCTTCAAAGCTAAAAATGGGTAGGTGAAACATATTTTATTGGGTCTCATGTATTGATGGTGAAAAAAAAAAATTCCTTACGAGACCAAGACTATTTTCTACTAACAAATCAGTCAAGCCCTATACTTAAAATTTTGTTCTCTCTTTTTGAAATTGATTTTTTCCCAACTGATCTATCTTCAAAGCTAAAAATGGGTAGGTGAAACATATTTTATTGGGTCTCATGTATTGCTGGTGAAAAAAAAAATTCCTTATGAGACCAAGACTATTTTCTACTAACAAATCAGTCAAGCTCTATACTTAAAAATTTGTTCTCTCTTTCTGAAATTGATTTTTTCACCCACAAGAAATTTGTTGTCTTACCCTAAGCTGATCATTTAGGTGGTTGACTAGCTCCTCAGAATAAATGGATGAGGAAGGCGCTGGAGGATCTGCTAACTGGAAACAAGTCATCATCAGGTTAAAACATTTTTGTCAGCCAAAAACCTCAACTGCTCTTTCACCCTCTGGTTAATAGGTCCTTAACTTAAACATTTTTGTTCAGAATTGGTTTGGAATATCATTAGTAAATTTTGACAGAAAATTTATCAAATTAAACTACATGGTTCAAATAGTACAGCCGACTGCTTTGTTCATAATAATACACACAAAGCAAACCACTGGATTAATGAATGTTCAAACTATTGAATTTTTGGACATGTGAAGATAAGATAATTTACCTTAATACCTCCCATTCCCCTTTTTTCGAAAAACTTTTTGCTATTATTATTATTTTTTGTTATTATTCTTTAATTTTGAAAGTAGAGACTCATCAGCTAAATGGGTCTCAGAGCAATGCCCCTTTGAATGGTCATATAAATACTTTAAATATATACAGCCCACTATGCTGCAATTAATAATGGCATTTCTAAGTTCAAGTGAATTTAAATGCACAGTACATACAGTTAATGCTAAATCGTCTTCAACACCAAATGCTCCAAAAGATTTGGACTCCTTAAGTTGGTCTTTCTCTGATTTTTCCTTTTCCTCCTTTCTCTGTTTCCTCAGTAACAGTTTCTTCTGTTGCTGTTCCTGCAGCAGCTGAAACTGTTGTTTTAACGTCTCATCTGATGCATTCATGATTTCCTGAAATACGTGAAATATTCAAGGATAATTGTGTAATAAATAACTTACTGCCTGAAAGTTAGGTTTCATGCTTATTATCGTTTAATTCAGCTATATTTCCAGACTGTGAACAATATCTCTACTTTAGGATATATAATTCAGATTTGCAATCTACTAGTTCCGCTCTCTTATGTTATTACCAGGACCTCCATGCCCATTCAAATATAATAAGAGCTGAGCTTATTTCAAGGTTGAACAGCGAAACACTACTAGAAAGTGACTCAGTCTACCACAGTACCACAAGAATGGCGGTCGTGCAATCATGTCAGTTTTAACTGTATCAGCAATCAGTGACACAATTTTATTGTAAAACCATGTACCAAAGTGATGAACCTAGGAACTCAAAAACATCATCTCGACCCTACCTTTTCTCCTGGCTACAGTATTCTATTCTTTCGCTTTAAATCACAACGATCCATGCATTAGTACAAGACCGAGTCTTTTTGTTTATATGGTCGCTGTTCTAAAAAGAATTTGTATAGAAGCTCCGCACGGAATGAAACATTTCAACCAATCAAGTTACTGTATTGATTTTTGGATAGACCGCTGGCTGCAGCCTGAAGACATGTTATGTAGGGATACAAAATGGCTGCCATATGTAACAACAGACCAGTAGCAGGGTGCCATCTCTTGTTAGGGATTTTTACCACATAAATGTCCCTTAATGTTGGTCAAAAGTTTAAGTAAACAAGTAAACTAGAAATCCTAAGGAAAAAAAAACTGTATACGTCTGCTTGGCAGGGTAGAGAAACCGCTAAGGTGCAAGGACGGGTCGGTTAAACAGTGAGAACGACCACGACTAGCTGCTGAACCTCTTAAGCCCCTGGTTGCCATCCATTAATTCAATGGAAAAAAGTCTGTAAGATTGTCAGCAGCATTATGCAAAAAAGTTAGTTATTGAAGGATTTTGATAACATTTTTAGGACAACCTGAAAAGAACCGGGCTACATTTTGTTGGCGATTAAATAATTAATTAACTGATTCATTTTTTTTCGAACGATAAGTGAGTTAATTAATTAGTTGATAAATAATTAATGAACAATACTGAAATTTGAGTTAATTCATTCATTAATTTATCATTTATTTAATAAACAATTTATATTTGATAATTTTTCCTATGTCTTAGAAACCAACATATGTCTTGAACGTTGTCCGAAACTCTGAATGACGGAATGATAAACAAAGACAGAGAGTGAAATGGGTGTCCATTTATCTAAAGACATATTTGTGAATATCTTGTGAAAAATCAATTTGTCGCCCTGATAGAGGGTATATGTAAACCATCTTTAGGCCTACCAATTTTGGCACAATTACCTTACAACTGTAGCTTAGGATGGTTACCAGTTCCAGCACCGACGTAACCCCTTTGTTATTCTTTGTATTTACATATTAAAATGAATAGGAAATAAAATATTCAATTATTATATTATAATAATGAAAATATTATAATATTTAAAAAAACGACATGAAATTTTTATAGGAAAGAGGCATTAAAGTGTCAATAACCAAGGCAAATTAAGCATATACATACGACTATAAACTTTTAAAATCTTCATCGCCTCGTTTTATACCCTGTATAATCAAAAGTGTTCAACAAATAAAATACTCCACTACTAATTCAAGCTAAACATGGCGGACAAATTGTACGCGAAAGAGTGGAAATAACGAGCTACAGCACCGGCAAATTAAGCTGGCGAATGTCCGGATGTGTAAAATATTTAAAACTCACTAGGCATGTTGAGGGAAATTGAAATTTTTAAAACTTGAAACTGTTACTATAACACGTCTCACAAGACAGGCCACTATCACGGTCTCCTGGCATCAGTGTGGCTGATGGAGTCCCAAGTGTTAATTGGGACGAAAGCTTTTACAGGTAGGCTTCCAGTTTGTGAAGATATGGCTGGGAAGTAAAAAGTTACAAATTTCCTCAACATGATTGACAATACTATACAGATCAACTTTCATCAGAATATTTACTTACAATATTTCAGATTATTGCCATGTCAGCTTATTGACATTCTAAATGTTTAAAGTGTGACTTTGTATCATGGCGTGCACAGAAACCAAACGGCACACTGCAAGGTAAATGTCAAAGTAAGGCATTTTATTATCTGACGAAATAAAAGTATCATTATACATGGGATAATAAATGTCCAATAGTACATCGGTAGCTCTACACTTTCCTGGTTACTAATACTATTCCAGACCAAAAATAAATAAATAAATAAATAAATAAATAAATAAATAAATAAATAAATAAATAAAATACAACATAACATATCAAGCAAGTTTCATTAAGTCTTTTTAGCAAATGAATTGTTCTGGCAAATATCACACAATACAAGTCAGTTCATTTATTGTTGCAGTAACCCAAGGATCAAAAAAAAAGTCCAACGAAAATGCTTCCATGGGATTCACGTTATCACTCAACTGGCCTCTGGGAGAGAGAGTAGTGCTAGGTGAATACTTAACAACGTGAAACTCCTAGCTCAAAACGGGTTTATCAATCGTAGACATGTGAGTGGTTACTGAGAAGAGTTTAAATATATCCAATGTGCTCTTTCACGTCACCAGAGGCATTTATTACAACTCTCGTTTGGCTTGGGCAAAAGCGAAGTTTGTTGGCACTTTTCTCCGCCAGAACATGGTCGGTGCAGGTGTTTCGACAGATGCCCCGTTGTTGTTTTAAAGGTGATTTATTTATTGAGGCAGAGAAATGACGATGTCTTAAAATTCGCAACATATAGAGACTCAATATACTTAAATCCATTAAGCACGGAACATGCAAATGAGGAGAATGGAATCCATGTAAATCGTCACGGTCAGCAAAGTTTTCCCCTTCTCACACTTGTTCATGTCCTCCTATAGTAACCATTCCTCACAGTCGAAACAGATGGTGTGTCACCCTGATAAACTGATATATGCAAATATTCCATTTTGTGAAATACCATGGGAAAGGCCACTCACTGCTGTTGAAAATGTCCTACAGGTCAAAGGGTTAGATCGTTGGCTAAAACGTGAAGTGTCCTCGCCACATAAAAAGACCATGTATATACAATGCAGTTGTTGCAGTCAGCAGTAACATCTTTTTCCTTCAAACCTGCCATTGGGGTCTTTTAAGATGAGTAGCAATTAATGTCTTTGGAAACGAAAACAATCATTCGTCTCTGCTTATGATTCGTCTGTTGCAGGTTTTTTTTACCCGATGGCTCCAATCAGAAAGCCCGTAGTTTCAAATGTCTCTTGCTCAGAGGTCACATTCACAGTATCAAGACGCATTCATTTAGCTAACTTCAACGCAAGCATGCAATCCGACACAACTGGGATGGCTTTTACAGAACTCGTACAACAGAACCGTGACATATACATAACAGAAACAGTACTGAATCACTATCATGTATGTACTAAAATTTTCATTGCCAAATATTTTCTTTTTACGTCAGACCCTCAAAAAAAAAAAAAAAAAAAAAAAGGAGTATTGTAAAATATTACTAATTTGTGGCAGCAATCCATTACAAACACACTTTGCATCATGCCTACATGTACACTTGTTCATATACAGCAACTGAAGCTTCGTTATTTCACTTTACATCAACCCCTTGCAGACCAACCCCTCAAAACTCCCAGACATGTCAACAAAAATGGGCCGCGAAATGTGACTTCTGAATAACGCAAAAGCTTTCATACAACACACTCCGCACTCCCTCAAATCAAAAGATGACCATATCATAAATAAGGAAATACATGTAGTAGCCTGGCAAAAAGAACACTGTGATATACCAGTACGTGCTGTAGTAACCTGTTATAACATATCATGCATTCACACATCATAACCAATTAATCACGCTTGGTACCTCACAAGACACCATTCAACAGCTAAGTCGTATCACAGTGCCCAAAACGATTAAAGAAGCAAAAAAATGTTGCACTTTCTTACTTACCTTTGTACATTGCAGCATAGACGCAAGCGTATCAGGGTATCCGACAGATTCCAGATTTTATAACGAGAGGCAAAGAATCCGATGGTTTTTAAGTGTATACCTACCTTCTACATACTGCGTCGTGTCAAACGTTTCTTTAAAACTGTTTATTTATTTTATCTATGGTTTAAACTCCTAACACAGGGATTTCAATAGTCAATAATTGTTTTAAATATTCTGAAATCAAGATAAAAATCGTTAACATTGGCAATGTTTGCATTTTAATATTAAAATGTTTCGTATGAGCCTACGACTCATACTATCAAACAGAAATGACGAAACGAGAGAAAAGGTCCTATGACTTGTAGACGTAGTGCAACTAAATCTTATCAATTAAACTATTCAAAGCCAGCATCACAGTTAAAGGTACCCTATGGCTTTGACTTATTCGCTTTTCTTTTGAACGTGCCCAATCGTTGTAGACCGCACAATCTAATGAAATTTTTTTGTTGAAATCTTTTAAATGGCCAAATTATACATCTTTCGTTTTTAAAATGCAGAGTAAGCTAGTGAAGGTTAATGCTCGACAATGATTGGGCTTTTGAATTTTATACCGCAGTTTTGGACGCTCCCTTCCCACTGCGCCAGTAAGTTGCAGAACAGAGTTTGCTCTGTGCCCCCTGTGGGTAGAAAGTGTCCTGTGAGGCAGGTGTACGTCCACGTGCGGTTGTCATAGGTTGCGTTGGCATTGGAAACAGTTGGCGGTGCACTACACACACTCTCTGAATTACCATGAAAAGCATTATTATTATTATTATTATTATTATTATTATTGATGTTGTTGTTGTTTACACGCCAGAAACTCTTTTCTAATGACTTTGTGTTGTTGAATTATACTAGCAATAATTGTAAGATCATTTAATTGTAAATATATTTAAAATTTTTCAGTTTTCGAAAAAGGTAGATTTTAGTACCATGCGCAATGGCAGCTACATGAACACCACTCCCTGAACATAAGATGTTTTATCTATAAGAATTGGCATACAGAAGGTACGTCCCAGATAGCAGGACGGCATTGGCCCAACATTGACCCAACGCATGGTTGGTTGTACAACCAATATTGGCCCAACGTTGGAAGACCAACGAAACCAAATGCCAACCATGCCAACGTTGGGATAACATTTTTTTCGCTGTCTGGGGAGTACCTCAATATGAGGCTTTCACTCTGCTCCACTCTTAACACAAAAGTTGTATGTATGAGGAAGGACAAAAAGACGAAAAAGGCAGTATGCAATATAATGAAATGGAACAAAACTAGAGGCGATGGTACTGGCACAAATACCTTCACACGCCGTGTGTGTCACCGCAGACCACATCCCCGTCTCCTGGCAACGAATCTCCTGGATGTCTGTATTATCCAGGTACTTATGTCCGTACAGGCATCGATAGACGGCGATACTGTCAGAGACATTCCCTGCCACTGTTCTTGTAGCATTCGCAACGAATGGTAAAGGACCACTGCAAACAATACCTGTCAACAATTGATCACTGTTAGTTAA